ATTCCTTGTTATCGATTTTTAGGCATTGAAAAAGAATTTCATGCGCACCTCTGTTGTATACGTACGACTTCATTGATAGAGAAATAACAATTGTCAAACTTAATTTTTGATTATTTCAATTATTATTTTAGAATTGAAATAGGCCAACGAAAAGTTTCTTCGGTTGGGGAAAGTCCTTTCTATCGATTTTCAGGCATTGAAAAAGAGTTTCATGCGCACCTCTGTTGTATTCGTACGACGTTATTAATAGAGAAATAAAAAACGTCAAAATTAATTTTTGATTATTACAATTATTATTTTGGAATTCAATTAGGGCAACGAAAAGTGTCTTCGGTTTGGGAAATTCCTTGTTATCGATTTTCAGGCATTGAAGAAGAATTTCATGCGCACCTCTGTTGTATTCGTACGACTTTATTAATAGTGAAATAAAAAATGTCAAAATTAATTTTTGATTATTACAATTATTATTTTGGAATTCAAATAGGGCAACGAAAAGTGTCTTCGGTTTGGGAAATTCCTTGTTATCGATTTTCAGGCATTGCAAAAGAATTTCATGCGCACCTCTGTTGTATACGTACGACTGCATTAACATAGAAATAAAAAATGTCAAAATTAATTTTTCATTATTACAATTATTAGTTTAAAAATCAAATAGAGCAACAAAAAGTGTCTTCAATTCGGATAGTACCATGTCATTGATTTTTACGCGTTGACAAAAAATCTTCATGCGCACAACCGTAATATTTTAATAAATATGGAAATAAAAAATTAATTTTAACATGGAACTACCCAATAATATTTTAATAATTTTAATTTTAAAATAATTTAATTAATTTTGCCATCGTTGTTTTATTTTTTGTTAATCAGAGAGTACAACGAAATGTTTCTTTAATTTGGGTAATTTCTTGTCATCGATTTACAGGCATTGATAAAAAATTTTGTGCATAGTTTTGCTGTATTCGTACTGTTTTTAAGTATTGCATATATAACAAGTTATAAAATTAATTTTTGATTATTACTATTATTATTTTGAATTTTTTTGGGGGCAGCAAAAGGTGTCTTCGATTTGGGTAGTTCCATGTCATTGATTTTCATTCGTTGACAAAAAAGTTTCATGCGCGCAGCTGTAATATTTTAATTAATATGGAAATCAAAAATTAATTTTGTCATGATTATTTTATTTTTTTGTATCCAGACAGTGCTTTAATTTGAGTAGTTTCTTTTCATCGATTTTAAGGCACTGATAAAAAAATTTTGTGCACTCTTTTGCTGTATTAGCACTGTTTTTAACTAATTCGTATATAACAAATGGTAAATTTCATTCTTAATTTTTTTTTTTTTTTTTTTTTTTTTTTGCTTGAATTCAAATAGGGCAAAGAAAAATGTCTTGGATTTGTGAAGTTCCTTGTTATCGATTTTCAGGCATTGAAAAAAACATTTCATGCACACCTTAGTTGTATTCGTAAGATTTTAACCAATACAGAACACAGAAATAACAAATGTCGAAATTAAATTTTCGTTAATAAAATTATTATTTTGAAATTCAAATACTGCAACGAGAATTTTCATGTGCGCGTGTGTAATGTTGGCTGGATTTTAACTAATGCCAAACTAAGAAATTTAAAAGAAAAATTAAATTAAAATTTTTTTTTTTTTTTTTTTTTTTTTTTTTTTTTTTTTTATATAATTAGAATAGGGCAAAAAAAAAAAAAAAAAAAAAAAGACACTCGATTTGGGTAGTTCCATGTTCATTGATTTTCATGCGCACAACTATAATATTTTAATTAATATGGAAATAAAAAATTAATTTTGTCATCGTTATTTTATTTTTTTGGATAACCAGACAGTGCAACGAAAAGTGTCTTTAATTTGTATAGTTACTTGTCATCGATTTTTCAGGAATTGATAAAAATTTTTTGCATACTTTTGCCATATACGTACTGTTTCTAACTAATGAGTATACAATAAATGGCAAATTTAATTCCTAAATTCTTTTTTCTTGAATTCAAATAGGGCAAAGAAAAGTGTCTTCGATTGGGAAGTTCTTTGTTATCGATTTGAAAAAATCGCATTGAAAAAAACATTTCATGCTCACTTCTGTTGTATATATACGATTTTAACTAATATAGAAATAACAAATGACAAAATTAATTTTTCCTTAATATAATTATTATTTTGGAATTCAAATAGGGCAACGAAAAGTGTCTTGTATTTAGGTAGTTCCATGTCATTGATTTTCAGGCGAAGACAAAAAATTTTCATGCGCGCAATTGTAATATTTGAGCAATTTTAATTAATAAGGAAATAAAAAAATAATAATTTTGTGATCGTTATTTTATTTTTTGGTACCCAGACAGTGCAACGAAAAGTGTCTTTAATTTAGGTAGTTACTTGTCATCGATTTTCAGACATTGATAAAACATTTTGTGCACACTTTTGCTGTATTCGCACTGTTTTTAAGAAATGTGTATATAATACACAGAAAATTTCATTCTTATTTTTCATTATTAGAATTATTATTTTGAATTTTTTTGTGGGCAACGAAAAGTGTCTTCGATTAGAGTAGTTCCATTTCATAGATTTTCAGCCTTTGACAAAAACTTTCATGCTCGTAAATGTAGTATTTCAGCGATTTTAATTGATATGGAAATTAAATTAGAAATTAATTTTACCACCGTTATTTTATTTTTTGGTAACCAGACAATGCAACGAAAAGTGTCTTTAATTTCGGTAGTTTCTAGTCATGGATTTTCAGGCATTGACAAAAAAATTTTCATGTGCGCGCGTGTAGTGTTGGTGGGATTTTAACTAATACCAAACTAAGAAATTTAAAAGAAACATCAAAAATTAAACTAAAATTTTCTAAATTAAAATTTTTAAGTTATAGTTAAACCGATAGGTCGAAAAGTGTCGACGAAAAGCGAAAAGGCTTCGAAACGAAAGGTGCCTTCGATTTTGGTAGTCCCCTGTTATTGATTTTCATGTTCGCAAATGTAATATTTTAATTAATATGGAAATAAAAAATTAATTTTGCCACCGTAATTTTATTTTTTGGTAATCAGACAGTGCAATGAAAAGTGGCGTTAATTAGGATATTTTTTTGTTATCGATTTTCAGGCACTGATAAAAAATTTTGTGCACACTTTTGCTATATTCGTACTGTTTTAATGTAATGCGTATATAACATAAGACAAAATTAATTTTTCGTTATAACAATAATTATTTTATACAATAATTATTATATGGAAATTAAAAATTAATTTTCCATCGTTATTTTATTTCTCAGTAACCAGACAGTGAAATAAAAAGGGTCATTAATTTAGGTAGATTTTTCCATTGATTTTCAGGCATTGATAAAAAAATTTTATGCAAATTTTTACTGCATTCGTATTGTTTCTTAACTAATGAATATAAAAAAAATGGCAAATATTGTTTTTAATTTTTTTAAACTTGAATTCAAATAGACAGTAAAAAGTGGCTTTGATTTGAGCAATTCCGTTTCTTGAATAAAAAAATTTTATGCGCAAATGTAGTATTTAAACAATATTAGTTTGTATGTAAACAAACGGCAAAATTAGTTTATTGTTTTTAAAAATTTATCCTTTGATATTTATACAAACGAAGAGTGTCTTCAGTTTGAGTAGTTTCTGGTCACTGATGTTCAGGAACTACCAAAACGATTTTCATGCTCATTTTAATTTTTCTCATACGATACGATTTTCTCATACGATTTTTAATTGATATTGAGATTTTTGTTTTAAATAAGGCAACGAAAAATGTCTTCGATTTGGAAAGTTCCACGTTATCGATTTTCAGGCATTGGAAAAACACTTCATGCGCACTTCTGGTATATTCGTGAGATTTTAACTAATACAGAAATAACATGCGGCAAAATTAATTGTTGATTATTACTATTATTATTACGGAATTCAAGGGCCTGAATGACCGAGTGGCTAGAGCTCGGTACCACAGGTTTCGGGTTCGAGTCCCGGTTGTGCCATGGATGTTTGTAGTGGTTCGGAATCCTCTTTCAGCCTTAGGTCCCGGTCCTAATAGGATCGTAGAGTGTTGCAGGAGCATTGTTACTCCGCGTCCGTGGCTTATCTTCAAGTTATACGCGCCCCCTGGGTAATGTAAAGTGAGTAACGTTTGTGCAGAGCTTGCCTTAAGGCATCCAAGACTAAGTGTTTGCCAGCTGCATTAGACGAAAAAAAAAATTACGGAATTCAAATTCGACAACGAAAAGTGTCTTCGAATTTGGGTGCGAAAGAGTTCAGTGGATCGATTTAGGTATAAATGGCAAATTAATTTTTATTTATTAATTATTTTTTTAAATTCAAATAGGACAACGAAAGATGTCTTCGATTTACTTATGTCCTTTATTAATGATTTTCAAGGATTTTCAAAAAATATTCAGCTGCGCTTGTTCTTGCGCAACATATTTGTGTGCCTGTATATGTGAAATTTTTATATAAAAAAATAAATGACAAAATTAAATTTTATTTATTGTTAATAAATTTATTATTATATTATTTATTTATTTATTCGATAAATATACAACGGGACGAAACGTATCTTTAATAGGAACAATTCATTGTGATCAATTTTTACACATTGGTAAAATATTTTCATGCACACCTACTTTGCACTCGTATAATTTTAACTAAATCGGAGTTAAAAAAATGACTAAAATTAAATTTTTAATTTTTATTTGGTTACCAAATAGAGCAACGATAAGTGTCTTCCATTCGAGTAGTTCTTTGTCATACATTTCCAAGCAATGATAAAAAAAATCCCATGCATGTCTGAGTTGCATTCGTACGATTTTAAATAATATGAAATGAAAAAAAAGTAAAATTAAAATTAAAATTTTGCATTTTTCATTCATGTTAAAATTAAAAGAGTGTAAGGAAATGTGTTCATATTGGTGATTCTCTATTATTTATTTGTGACAAAAAAAAAATCATAATCTTATATTACATAACAATGATTTGAGGACCAACGGCCGTACCATGCTGAATATACCGGTTCTCGTTAGACAAGCATCATTGGGCGCGGTCAGTACTTGGGTGGGTGACCATCTGGGAACACCGCGTGCCGTTGGCAAATTTGGGACCTGAATGGGGCCGAGTGTCTAGCGCTCTGGCGCTCGGTGCCACGGGTTTCGGGTTCGAATCCCGGCGGTGCCATGGATGTTTGTAGTGGTTCGGAATCCACTTTAAGCCGTAGGTCCCGGTCTCATATGACTGTAAGAGCGTCTCGGAGCCAAAGTCAGGCTTCTACCTACGGGTGCTCCATCACAACAGAAGCTGCTTCCTTCCCCTTCAATCATGAGTACGTATGGGCTCGTGGGCTTGGCCAGCCAAGTGGGATAAGAAACAACAAACAACAACATGATTTGATCCGTCTAGCGCTCTGACACTCGGTGCCATAGGTTTTGGGTTCGAGTCCCAGCTGTAATGGATGTTTGTAATGGTTCGAAATCCACTTTAAACCGCAGGTCCCGGTCTAATATGAGTGTAGAGCGTTGTCTTGAGGTTTAGTGTGTCTTCAGCCCTCGTGGTTCCTCGCTTAGCCTTATTCTTAGCCATGGACTAGTCGTCGCGACGGGGGTCTATTGGACCTGGTGTAGCCTTTCCTGCATCAGGGGGATTAGCAACAACATGGTTTGATCAATATGGAAATTCGAAGACGAATAATTTTGAATTAAATTTTGTTCTTTTGTATTTTTTATTTTGTAATTAAAATATCACTACCAAAGGTTCTTAGGTCTATAATTATTTATATTAAATGTTGTCGTTCTTAACATTATAAAATTCTGTATTACTATTAGTGGATATTTCAAGCCTATAAAATAATTGTATAAGTAATATATATATATATATATATACATATATATATGGCACAATATAAGTAGGAATATTAAATTCGTATAGTATTTTGTTTTTCGCTTAAGTTGCAATCGCAATTCTTCAAATCACAAAAATCAATTTTCCGTGACATGCTAGGAAATCAATGTCTTCATCCATTTCTGGTTTCATTCCTCTGGCTTCGTTCCTTTCAACAAAATAAATAAATGAAATAAAAATTTAAAAAGTACGTAAAATTCAAAACGGGGTTTCGGTTTTAAATTTTTAGAGTCGTACATTTATATTACAATTTCAAATTAAATTTACTGCTTTCTTTACTCAGTTTTCACAAACAGAATCTGACTTTTGCGATTTAAGTAAAAAAAAAAAAAAAAAAATCACAAAAATTTTTATAATTTTAAAATAGAGAATTATAAAAAATATAGAAGTTAGTTTATTTTGCGAAAGCGAATTAATTGATTAATGTTTCAAATCTAAATTATGATCTGACGTGAAATTCTTTCAGAAGAATTTAAGGAAAAAAAAAAATTATGTATTTTTTGAATAATTACTTTTTTCGTAAAATAATAAATAAATTTTGAATTATAATTAAAATTACGTACAATTACTTTATTTCTAAAAAGTTCAACGTTATTAAGTAATTTATGATGAAAAAAAGGCCAAAAAGGCAGGAAAAAAAATGATAAAAGTGGAAGATAAAAAAAGTTATCACAATTCACAAGTGATTATTTTTCGGTGGAAGTAAAAGTGAATATTAATATTTCTCTCAATATTACAATTTGAACGAAATTAAAAAAACATTTATAGAATTTAATTGGTCTAATAGTTAGGATTTCTAACTTTCACCCATTAACTCTGGATTTGAAGAACGACGCACGAGGTTCCATGGTGTAATGGTTAGCACTCTGGACTCTGAATCCAGCGATCCGAGTTCAAATCTCGGTGGAACCTGCAATTTTTAACTCATTTTTTTTTCTATTTATTAATATCAAAAATTTTCCTCTAAAAAGAAAAGGGTTAAATTATTTTATTAAAAAAACATTTGTAGAATTTAATTACTTTTTCATAACAAATATAAATCAAATGTAGTCTAATAGTTAGGATTTCTAGCTTTCACCCATTAACTCTGGATTAGAAAAACGATGGCACGAGGTTCCATGGTGTAATGGTTAGCACTCTGGACTCTGAATCCAGCGATCCGAGTTCAAATCTCGGTGGAACCTGCACTTTTTAATTCATTTTTTTCTATTTATTATTATCAAAAACTTTCCTCTAAAAAGAAAAGTGTTAAATTATTTAATTAAAAAAAACATTTGTAGAATTTAATTACTTTTTTCATAACAAATATAAATCAAATGTGGTCTAATAGTTAGGATTTCTAGCTTTCACCCATTAACTCTGGATTTGAAGAACGACGGCACGAGGTTCCATGGTGTAATGGTTAGCACTCTGAATCCAGCGATCCGAGTTCAAATCTCGGTGGAACCTGCAATTTACTCAATTTTTTTTTTGTATTTATTAATATTTTTCATAACAAAAAAATTTTTTTTTTTCTAAAAACGACTGAAAAGTGTTAAATTATTTAATTAAAAAAAAATTTGTTAAATTAAAAAAAAATTTTGTAGGATTTAAGTACTTTTTTCGTAACAAATGTAAATCAAATCTGGTCTAATAGTTAGGATTTGCAGCTTTAACCCATTAACTCTGGATTTGAAGAACGACTGCACGAGGTTCCATGGTGTAATGGTTAGCACTCTGGACTCTGAATCCAGCGATCCGAGTTCAAATCTCGGTGGAACCTGTAAATTATTTAACTCAATTTTTTTCGTAATCAAATTATTTAATAATTTGCCCCCATTAACTCTGGATTTGAAAAACGACTTTCCATTAAAGCACTCTGGACTCTGAATCCAGCGATGTTAAATTATTTTTAAAAAAATGCCCCCCCCAAATTTTTTTTTTTTAAATGTTAAATTTAAAAAAATCATTTGTAGGATTTTTTTCGTAACAAATGTAAATCAAATATGGTCTAATAGTTAGGATTTGCAGCTTTTACCCATTAACTCTGGATTTGAAGAACGACTGCACGAGGTTCCATGGTGTAATGGTTAGCACTCTGGACTCTGAATCCAGCGATCCGAGTTCAAATCTCGGTGGAACCTCTAATTTTTAACTCAATTTCTTTCCTATTTAATAATGCCCCCCCAAATTTTTTTTTTAAAATGTTAAATTATTTTTAAAAAAAAAATGATTTGTAGGATTTAAGCAACTTTTTCGTAACAAATGTAAATCAAATATGGTCTAATAGTTAGGATTTGCAGCTTTTACCCATTAACTCTGGATTTGAAGAACGACTGCACGAGGTTCCATGGTGTAATGGTTAGCACTCTGGACTCTGAATCCAGCGATCCGAGTTCAAAACTCGGTGGAACCTGTAATTTTTAACTCAATTTCTTTCCTATTTAATAATGCCCCCCCAAATTTTTTTTTTTAATGTTAAATTATTTTTAAAAAAAAAATAATTTGTAGGATTTAAGTACTTTTTTCGTAACAAATGTAAATCAAATATGGTCTAATAGTTAGGATTTGCAGCTTTTACCCATTAACTCTGGATTTGAAGAACGACTGCACGAGGTTCCATGGTGTAATGGTTAGCACTCTGGACTCTGAATCCAGCGATCCGAGTTCAAATCTCGGTGGAACCTCTAATTTTTAACTCAATTTCTTTTTATTTAATAATGCCCCCCAAATTTTTTTTTTTTAAATGTTAAATTATTTTTAAAAAAAAATAATTTGTAGGATTTAAGTACTTTTTTCGTAACAAATGTAAATCAAATATGGTCTAATAGTTAGGATTTGCAGCTTTTTACCCATTAACTCTGGATTTGAAGAACGACTGCACGAGGTTCCATGGTGTAATGGTTAGCACTCTGGACTCTGAATCCAGCGATCCGAGTTCAAATCTCGGTGGAACCTCTAATTTTTAACTCAATTTCTTTCCTATTTAATAATGCCCCCCCCCAAATTTTTTTTTTAAAATGTTAAATTATTTTTAAAAAAAATGATTTGTAGGATTTAAGTACTTTTTTCGTAACAAATGTAAATCAAATATGGTCTAATAGTTAGGATTTGCAGCTTTTACCCATTAACTCTGGATTTGAAGAACGACTGCACGAGGTTCCATGGTGTAATGGTTAGCACTCTGGACTCTGAATCCAGCGATCCGAGTTCAAATCTCGGTGGAACCTGTAATTTTTAACTCAATTTCTTTCTATTTAATAATGCCCCCCCATTTTTTTTTTTTTTTTAAATGTTAAATTATTTAAAAAAAAATTCATTTGTAGGATTTAAGTACTTTTTTCGTAACAAATGTAAATCAAATATGGTCTAATAGTTAGGATTTGCAGCTTTTACCCATTAACTCTGGATTTGAAGAACGACTGCACGAGGTTCCATGGTGTAATGGTTAGCACTCTGGACTCTGAATCCAGCGATCCGAGTTCAAAACTCGGTGGAACCTGTAATTTTTAACTCAATTTCTTTCCTATTTAATAATGCCCCCCCCCCAAATTTTTTTTTAAATGTTAAATTATTTTTAAAAAAAATAATTTGTAGGATTTAAGTACTTTTTTCGTAACAAATGTAAATCAAATATGGTCTAATAGTTAGGATTTGCAGCTTTTACCCATTAACTCTGGATTTGAAGAACGACTGCACGAGGTTCCATGGTGTAATGGTTAGCACTCTGGACTCTGAATCCAGCGATCCGAGTTCAAATCTCGGTGGAACCTCTAATTTTTAACTCAATTTCTTTCCTATTTAATAATGCCCCCCAAATTTTTTTTTTAAAATGTTAAATTATTTTTAAAAAAAATGATTTGTAGGATTTAAGTACTTTTTTCGTAACAAATGTAAATCAAATATGGTCTAATAGTTAGGATTTGCAGCTTTTACCCATTAACTCTGGATTTGAAGAACGACTGCACGAGGTTCCATGGTGTAATGGTTAGCACTCTGGACTCTGAATCCAGCGATCCGAGTTCAAAACTCGGTGGAACCTGTAATTTTTAACTCAATTTTTTCCTATTTAATAAATGCCCCCCCAAATTTTTTTTAAATGTTAAATTATTTTTTAAAAAAAAATGTTTTAAATTTTTTTTAAAAATATAAATCAAATGTAGTCTAATAGTTAGGATTTCTAGCTTTCACCCATTAACTCTGGATTAGAAAAA